ATGTTACACCAATGGCCACCAAGCGCTCTGGTAAGCCCAGTCATACCTAAGATTTGCTGACAAATCTTTGTATATGCAGTGGTGGCCCAGAGACACGGTATCAGCAAATCAGAGTTGTAGTTCTTTCTTCACTTACACTTAGAGTAAATGAGGTTCCACATTCTCTCCTTTGCTTGTCTTTACATATAGTGAGAATAAAGACAACTAGATTATCCTAGGCCTGTCTGGCCTTTGTCCACACCCTCAGCTGCTGTAGAATTCAGCTAGCTTTCAGTGATCGTGTTTTGTTTTTAGAATTCTGATCCTGGGATCCCTGGGTGGCGCAGCGGTTTAGCGCCTGCCTTTGGCCCAGGACGCGATCCTGGAGACCCCGGATCGAATCCCACGTCGGGCTCCCGGTGTATGGAGCCTGCTTCTCCCTCTGCCTGTGTCTCTGCCTCTCTCTCTCTATCTGTGTGACTGTCATAAATAATAAAAATAAAATTAAAAAAAAAAAAAAAGAATTCTGATCCTGAGCTTAGTAGTGTTCACTTGCTATACCTTTCTTTTTTTCCCCCCAGGTGCAGGTGTAGCCCTGCTAAATGACCATATTTATGTGGTGGGAGGATTTGATGGGACAGCCCACCTTTCTTCTGTTGAAGCATACAACATTCGCACCGATTCCTGGACAACTGTCACTAGTATGACCACTCCGCGATGTTATGTCGGGGCCACAGTGCTTCGAGGGAGACTTTATGCTATTGCAGGGTAAGGATTTGGAAGCCAGACCAGAGTCCTCAGGGATCGAGGACCACATGAGCCAATCTGAATTTTTGGATCAAGACCGGCTGTGGGTTGGGGGAGACATCTCCAGTGGCAGCCTTTAATGTAGGACTGTATGGAAAGGAATAGAAGGTTCATTTTCTTCTTTTGCTTCTTCCCCATTCAGATATGATGGGAATTCCCTGCTGAGTAGCATTGAGTGCTATGACCCTATCATCGACAGCTGGGAAGTAGTGACATCCATGGGAACCCAGCGCTGTGATGCTGGGGTTTGTGTTCTTCGGGAGAAGTGACCATTGTTGGAGCACCGTCCGGAGCTAGTGACCAGTCCAGGGGACAGTTTACGGGAGAGTCAAGGATCCTTTCCAGAATATCTGTTTCTCACTGTGTGCACAGGGTGATTACAAGCGCCAGTGCAGTGATGATTGTACTTATTTAACACACACTCCACCTTGCGCTGGTAGTTGTCCCTGAGGAGGGTGGGTAACAGACACTCAAGGGAAGACAGCGCATACTGAATGGATCTGAGAGGCCAGGTCACCTCTTCTGGTCTAGACAGCACTCTCATGTGCTCAGGAGAATCTCTGTATCTGTTGTGCCTCGTGTATTGCAGACACTTAAGGTCAGTGTGACCTACGGAATGTGGGCAGTATCCAGCGTAGATGACCGGAAGGATACCAACTTGAGGAAGCTGGGTAAAATCCAAGTCTTGTTTTCCAGGAAGATCTTTCCTAGTCTACAGTAGCTAGGGGCAGCAGTTCCGTTCTGGAGGATAACAAAGGGGAGAGCCCCCTGTCCCACTTTGGGGGCTTGGAGAGAGACCTGGCACTCCCTTCAGGGACAGGGTTGGTATATCAGAACCGGGTTTAGAATAAGGGACGTCAGAAGAATTTGATGGAAGGTGAGTGAACTGAGAACACCACTGAAGTATAACCTGGAAGACTTAAGAGGGTGGTCATACTGAAGGATCTTTTTATTTCCCCATGGACGTCCTGAACCAGAATGGTGCGCGTCTTGGCACCAGAGACTGACAGAGTAAGAGTGAACGAGTGTCGGGATGGGCAGAGATGGAATGAACGTGGGAGTTGGGTATGCCTGGGAACAAACTAGAAGTACCTGTGATTTTACAGTCGTCTTATTTCCTGCCAGGGCTCATCTACCCGTGGCATGGTTTGCCTTGAGTAGGTGAGACACTATCTCTCTGTGTTGAATCAAATACTACTACACTATTATACTTCATTACTATTTATTTGGGGTGGGGTGGGGGTGGCAGCAGCCAAAAAGTTCAGCTACCTGATTACTGCCCCATTCCTTTAAGGGCACCCTTCTGCTGAGAAGTGGTTTTTACTGCTGTGTTTGGTACAGTTCATCCTTTTCCTACTATAAGGCCCTCACCTGTCCTTAGGGTGGATTTCATTTATCCCAGGACAGAATAATCAAGGACAACCAAAATCCTTTTGTTAGTTCCAGTACTTGCTATCGCCATTGCTGAGCCACCGTTCAAGGCTCCCCCTGTGTTTTGGAGTGAAATTCTTAGTTTTGTGGGTATTGGAAGTGTGGGGACGTGATAACCTAAAGAAGGATGCACTTTCCCTTTATTTTGAAATTCCATTTTTTTCTCTTTCCCTGAGTTGTATTGACCTCAAGAGTTCATTTCCTTTGTATTTTTTTAATAAAATATTAAAAATCAATGGTCTCAAATGCCTATAGGAGAGTTTGTGGCTAACCAGCACTGTCTTGCAGATACTGGGGGTGGGGTGGGGAGGGGGGAGCAGGCATAGTGGTCAGCTGTATGTCCTCGCTCTTCTCCCTGTTACCCTGTGTGTTTGCCAACTAGCTCCACTATGTTTCTCTGACATGGGTAAGAGGTAGCTACCCCTTTACCCTTGCCAAGATACTCATCAGTAAAATATTTATGTGAAATTGCATGTTTATTGACTCCTCTCACACCTGGAGTTTACTTGAGAACCAAACAGAATAATGGGGAATCCATCTTGAGCTAATTTAGTACCCACTTGACTTTTAGGGTGTTAGTCACTCCGGTCCTTTTTTCATTTGCTTAGATTTAGGGCACGTGATATAAATAGCTAAGGAGAAGGCCTGCAAAACTGCAAAAAATCCTGGTATTTCCAGAGCAAAGGAAAGAGGGAGCCAAAAAGGAAGTTATTTTCTCTAAAGAAGCCTGCCAACCTTTCCTCAGCAGATGGGTTTGTGCCTGCTGATCAAACCACAGCTATGAAACATGTGGCTCATCCTATCTCAGGGAAAGATCCAGGGGAGGCAGAGAAATGGGGGTAAAGAACTGAGGGCTCCTGGACTATCTTTACTGCTTGCTTTTCTGAGTCGCAGACCAAATTCCTAAATAGTTCTTCTATGGCAGCCACGGCTGAATACTCTACAGAAAACATGTAAAACTTTGCTCTCTTCCCACTCTTCCCAATCCTACACACTTTGGTTATGCACATACGCAGATGTACCCCTGATTTGGGGGTTCCTCTTGTTTTTCTAGGTCTCTTGGATGGCAACCAGCCAAAGAGGTCTCCAGTCTCAGAGATTCATCATTGTCGTGTCACCCCTATTACCATACAGACATGCAATCTGTTTCTTGGTCCTTAATGACTCTATTTCTAACAGTCCCACATACATTCCTATACTTGTATTCCCTCTGCTACCGCCTACTTCGGGCCTGTATCTCTTGCCCCGACTCGCGGAGTGACTCACGGCCTCTCCTCTCCTTCTTCCAGTCTAGCTCTTCCATTTTGTCATCGGTGTCATCACAGCACCTAACACACAGCAAATTTCCAGTGAATATCAGCGTTCTGGCCTTTATTCCCTAGGTGCCCATTGCCCGTATCATGGAGCTCAGGATTCCTTCCCATGGCTTCAGACCCGTGGTGCTGGGCCCACTCCGCCCCTCGGTCTTCCCTTCCTCCGCTCCGCTGTTCCCCCCCGAGGTGAAACGTGTCCAGCGGCCTCCCGCGCGCCCTGAAGCTCGCTCTCCTCCTTGCTCGGGGTTTCTACTGTCCTGCCTGAACTCCACCCTCAGGACAGAATCCTGGCCACACCCGGAGGCCTTAAAATGTCACGTGGCGGGGTCCCTCGGGCCGCAGCGGCCTGGGGATCGAGGCCCCATCGGACTCCCCGCAGGGAGCCTGCTTCTCCCTCTGCCCGTCTCTCTGGGTCTCTCGTTAACAAATAAACTTTTATTTTTTTTTGAAGATTTTTATTCATTCACAGAGACCCCGGCAGGGGGAGCAGCAGGCTCCACGCAGGAGCCCGACGCGGGACTCGACCCGGGTCTCCAGGGTCACGCCCAGGGCCGAAGGCGGCGCTGAACCGCTGCGCCCCCCGGGCTGCCCAATAAATAATCTTAAAAAAAAAAAAAAAAAAGAAAAAGAAATGTCGCGTAGGGAGACCCTCTTCTCACTCCCCAGATGGGGATCACTCCGGGTCGTGGCCTCCGTCTACTTCATCCCGTGCCTGTGGTCGTCGCAGGCCGCGGGGTCGGGGCGCCCCCCGGTGCCGCCCCCCGGTGCCGCCCGCCTGAGGGCCGGGGCCGGGGCCCCTGCGCCGCGCGGGGAGCTACTGAGGCAACGAGGCCGCGCAGGCCGCGGCGCTGGGCGGAGGAGACGCCGCCGGACGAGGTCGAGCCCGGCCAGCGGCGGCGCGAGGGCTCCTCGGGGCGGCGGGGATCGGGGCCCGCGGGCGCCGGGCGAGGCGGCTCTGAGGCGGCTCTGAGGCGGCTCCGAGGTCACGACCCGCCGCCGAGCGCAGCGGCGACGCGGCTTCCCGGCCCCGCGCGGGGCACCGCCGACGAGCTCTCCTCTAGGGGCGGCCGCACTCCGGGCCCTCGCGCCGCGTCCCGAGGCCACCCCAGTCTCCGCCAACGGGCGGCGCGGCCCGCGTCTACCGCCGGGCGAGGGCGAGGGCGAGGGCGAGGGCGAGGGCGAGGGCGAGGGCGAGGGCGAGGGCGAGAGGGCGAGGGCGAGGGCGAGGGCGAGGGCGAGGGCGAGGCGAGGCGAGGGGCGGCCGCGGAGCGCGCGGACGGCGTCACGGCCCGGCGAGCCCCGGGTCACAAAGCCGCCGAGTCCCGGCCCGCCCGGCGCTGGGCGCGGCGCTTGCGCAGGAGGCGGCGGAGCGGGACGCGGACGCCTGCGCAGGGGGTGGCCCCGCCCCGCCCCGCCCCGCCCCCCCCCGCCCCGGCCCCGGAGGCCGCGCCTGCGCAGAGGCCGCGGAGACAGCGCCTGCGCGGTCGGGCCCCGGACGCGGCGGCGGAGGCGGCGATGGAAACGGCCGAGCCGCTCAGCGACCTGGTGTCCGCCGAGGGCCGAAACCGGAAGGCGGTGCTGTGCCAGCGCTGCGGCTCCCGGGTGCTGCAGCCCGGGGCCGCGCTCTTCTCCCGCCGGCAGGTAGGGCGCCCCGAGGCCGCGCGCGACCCGCTGACCCCCGTGCCCTGCGCCTCAGCCGGGCTTCCGGGGGCCGCCGGCGGGCGGGGGCCGCGCCTCAGGCCCGGAGTCGCCCCGACGGACGCTCGCCCTCGCGCTTGCACCTCCCTCATGGCTGCCGCCCCCCCGGAGCGGACAGTGGGGAACGGCCCTTTACGTAGACGTGGTGAGGCGTGACCGAGGTGTGACCGCGCCGCGTGCGCCCCGCTCGGGACGGCCCCGCGGCGTGCGCCGGCCTTCGCGGGGAGGCCTCGGGGGAGGCCTCGGGGGAGGGGCCGGGGCGAAGGCGTCGCCAGCCCGCGAGGCCCCTCCCGGCGTCAGCAGCGCGAGGCCGGAGCGGCGGAGCGGCGGGGCCCGACGGCGCGGAGCTCCCCCCCGCCCACGATCCCAGCCCATCTCACGACGCCTTTAGTGTCTGTTGTTTTTAGGTTTTACTTATTCGTGAGAGAGGCAGAGACCCAGGCGCGGGGGGAGCAGCAGGCTCCACGCAGGAGCCCGACGCGGGACTCGACCCCGGGCCCGAGGCCGCCGCCCCACCGCGAGCGCCCGCGCCCAGGGTGCGCCCAGGGTGCGCCCAGGATGCGCCCAGGATGCGCTGTTGCGCCCCTAGCCCGTGAGGCCTCGAGTCCTGCCCGCCCCTCCGCCCTGCCTTGAGCCTGTGCGCGTAAGTAAGAACTTAATAGATATTTAGATCTAGATGGATCAGTGAACCGGAGCCCAGTGTAGAGAACGGGTCCGCATGGACGTGTGTCGCGGTGCCGCAGCACGTGCTCTTCGTGGATCCTGTGACTGGCCTCCCCATACCCTGGAACTCGGAACTTCTTGGAACCTAAAGCTCGTGGCAGGGAATCACGACGAAGCTGAATGGAGATGGAGGGAACGGCGGTGTCGTATTTCATAGTTAGCAGAAGGAGAAGGAGAAGGAGAAGTATGGCTTCTTTGAAGAACCGAAAAGTTCAACGTGGCCAGAAAGCCAGGATGTAATAAAACTGGCAAGTAATGCAGCCAGGGGGAGTTAAGGTGATTGCAGTAGGGGAGGCGAGGGAGCTCGGGGGAGGACCCATCCCCTTGGAGGGTAGAAGCCCCCGCATGGGGCTAGGATGCGGGACCAGTAAGGACGTAAGGACGCTGACCAGGTGCCCATCGGCGGTGGACAGGGCGGTGACCAGGCCACCTCACACGGCCACGAGGGGTCACCACATGCCAGGATCCGTAGAGGAGCCGACATGCATGTGAGGGTGTAGGAGTAATTGGGAGCAAGGAGAGCACCGGTTCCCACTCCCCATCCTGCAGATCCCAGAGTAGGCGGAGCGTCAGACGATGGGCAGCACCGAGGAGCCCTATTTCCATGGAGACAAAGAGAAAAGGGAAACACTCACCAAAGGTTGAGAATGTAGGAAAGACAGATGAGGTTAGAAAAGAGTAACTTGTTTTTTACAGTTTTTGGAGGGGGGAGGAGCGTGGCAGGAGTGGGCAGTGGAAGATGAACTCAGAAGAGAGCAGTGTTTGGTGAGACAGGGCAGCAGAGGCCCCGAGGGCACACCCAACAGCAGTGTCTCCCGAGGCGGAGCATGTACTTCTCTGCAGCCCAGCCAGTGCGCCGCCGCAGGACCTTTGCCCCGGGGGAGTGAAAACAGGTTTACACAAAACCTTGTACGTAAATGTTCATTGCACCGTTTTTCATATTGGCCCAAACTGGAAACTGCCGGGTGTCCTTCAGCAGAGGGATGTCAAACAAACTGCTGTAGCCATATGGTTGGATGAACCGCGATGGAATGAACCACTGACGTATTATACAGCTTGGGTGACTCTCCAGAGAATTGTGCCGCATGAAAAAAGCCAGGCCCAGGGATCCCTGGGTGGCGCAGCAGTTTGGCGCCTGCCTTTGGCCCAGGGCGCGATCCTGGAGACCCGGGATCGAATCCCACGTCGGGCTCCTGGTGCATGGAGCCTGCTTCTCCCTCTGCCTGTGTCTCTGCCTCTCTCTCTGTGTGTGTGTGTGACTATCATAAATAAATAAATTAAAAAAAAAAAGCCAGGCCCAAAATAATACACACTGTATGATTCCATTTCTGTGTCATTTTTGAGTTCTAGAAATGGAGAGTCGATGAGTGACTGCCAGGGTTGGGAATTGGGGGCTGAGGGTTCTGGGAAGTGTGGTTTTAAAAGGGACAGGAGGAAAAATTAAAAATTAAAAAAAAATTAAAGTGACAGGAGGGGCCCTCCTGGTGGTGGAGCTGCTCAGGGTCTTGACTGTGGTGGTGGATACATGAACTTCCTCGGGGTAAAACTGACCGAAGTGTGTACACATCACACAGAAACAGGGCACTCTGAATAAAATCAGTGTCGATGTCCTGGTTATGAGATTATGCTCCGGTTTTGCAGAATATTACCATCAGGGAAAACGGTGTCACCAAACACAGGGTATGTGGAATCTCTGTATTGTGTCTTGATATAGAAATAATTAGTATATATGTCTTTATATTCTTCACTGCATGTGAACCCACAGTTACCTCCATAAAATTTTAAGACTGATTAAACAATTTAAAAATCAGGACATTATGCTTAGTAAAATAAGCTAGTCTCAAAAAAGACAAATATTGTATGATCCCACTCATGAGGTACCGAGGGTAGTCAAATTCCAAAGTCATAGGGACAGAGCAGAATGGTGGTTTGCATGGACTGGAAAATGGGGAGTTAGTATTTAATGGGTACAGAGTGCCGTTTTGGGAAGATGAAAAAATTCTAGTGATGCGTGGTGGTGGTAGTTGCTTAACAGAGTATATGTATTTTTTTTAATTTTTATTTATTTATGATAGAGAGAGAGAGAGAGAGAGAGAGGCAGAGACATAGGCAGAGGGAGAAGCAGGCTCCATGCACCGGGAGCCCGATGTGGGATTCGATCCCGGGTCTCCAGGATCGCGCCCTGGACCAAAGGCAGGCGCCAAACCGCTGCGCCACCCAGGGATCCCTGAGTATATGTATTTAATGCCACTAAACTGCACACTTAAAAATGACGTAAATGGTAAGTTTTAGGGGCACCTCGGTGGCTCAGTTGCTTGAGCATCCCACTCTTGATTTGGGCAGCGAACCTGCTTAAGGGATTCTCTCTCTCCCTCTGCCCCTCCCCCTGCTCTTTCTCTCTCTCTGAAGTAAATCATTCTTTTTGAAGAACGGTTTTATGCTATGTATATATGGTTGGTCACAAAAAAACCACCAGGAATACTCACAGAAGGGAGAAAATTACAAAAAAAGAGATACCAAAAGTTTGTACTGTAACAGTTTTTATTTTCATCTATATTGTAGCCTGCTTGCCAAGTTTTCTACCATAAGAATGGATTTTTACAAAGAAAATTTTTAAAGATTTTATTTATTTATTTGACAGCAAGAGCATGCAAACAAGCAGGGGGAGCAGGACAAGGAGAAGCACCCCTCCCCAGCAGGGAGTCCGACACGGGGCTCCATCCCAGCCACCCAGATGCCCCAAGAGAAAATATTTTTAAAAGGACAGTTAACAGTTCTTCTTCTTCTTTTTTTTTTTTCCTTTTCAAAGATTTTATTTACTTGAGAGCATACAAGCAGGGGCAGAGAGGGACAAGCAGACTGCCTACTGAGCAAGGAGCCAGACGCGGGGCTCCATCCCGGGACCCCAGGATCATGACCCGAGCTGAAGGCAGGTGCTCAACCGACTGAGCTACTCAGCTGCCTCTTTCTTGAGAAAGCAAAAGGAGTTCCCCTGACCATCTCCCGGAGTTGGCGTATTCTACATCTCTCTGAGGAGATGGTCCAGGATTAGGGTGGTGGCTGAGGTCCTAAGCAGTTAGCCCACCCAGTCAGGGATGTAACTGGCAACTCTGGCCCCTGGCCCTCTGAGTTAGCAGCCCCCAATGAGACAGTAATTTCTTGGTTTCCACCCCAGTGGTCTATCTAGAAAGCCTAATTGTATTCCAAATGTTACATCCCCAAACCTGACCCTGCAGAGCCCTGCATAGCCCTGGGCACTGCAGAGATAGAGTTGAGATGCATACAAATACACACACAATGTGCTTAAATGTAGGTCTAGTCTTATGGATCTGACGGGATTTAAATAAAAATGAGAATGTTGAGAACCCTTGAATGATCGGTTAATAGTATTTCTGTCAAATCACTACTCAAAAGAGACTGCGGAGGTGGTGTTTTGCATCATTAAAAAAACAAGCAAACTAACTGTGGGAGGGAAGCTGGGGCTCCTTTGTTGGACATTTAAAGGCTAATGTTTAAAAAGTCTTTGGTTTTTCTCCCCTTAATGTTTCACTCACCTTACCTGTAGTAAAGATGTTGATTTCACACCTACAGAATAGGCCAGAAACACATTTGGGGGAATTTAGGCCCACAGAGAGATACAGCTAAGGCTGGAACCTAGGTCTCCCGGTCCCTGAGTTTTGGTTCCTCTTTGCCTCTGCCTGTTCCCATTTTCACGTAGGGTACAACAAAGCACTGGGGACTCCTTAAAAACATTAGATGAGGTTAAAAAAAAAAAAAGGGTGACTGGAATGACCATATAACAGGAGGAGGGACTGTCCTATTTTTTGATGTCCTCAGGTGATCTTACAGTGTAGGGTGTTACACAGATACCTGTTTTAGCAGGCCACGTGGTTGGAAGATGGGGAGCAGAGATGTTCTGGATCAGTGCTCCCTCCTTTATCAGGGATAGCCACACGCCGGCCCAGCGTGTTTAATGCACACTAGCAGCTTTGTGATTCCCTAACTGTCGCATTCAGGAAGAGGCTTGCTCATCTCTACCAAAGCATTTGCCTCTTTTGGACTAATTAATGTCCACTGGTTTTTTGTTTGTTTGTTTGTTTGTGTTTGTTTGTTTTAATTAAAAAGAAAGTTTTTTGCTTTTGTTCTGCTTGCTAATGCCAGACAACCACACTGGGAGCATCCTATTGTATTAGAGTTTGGGGATGCAGTAGAGATGTACTATGGGGTGGAAAATAAATTTATTGGCAGCAGCCAAAATGACAAGGAGCAGAGGGGTAATGAGCTTTGCTGGCATTGTATCCTCTAGTACTCTGGGGCAGCGGAAGGTGTGTAAACTAACCATAGGGAAGAAATTAAAGGGCGTGTATGTGTGTGAGGCTTTCTCCTAATGATCGGGAAGGCATGTTGATTAGTGGGTAGGAGGATCCTTGGGATGATATTCCACATTCTAGAACTAGATTTTCCTTTTCAATGCTCTTTTTGTAAGACAAGTCCAGCATATACACAACACTGATAGAATAGAACAAAGCCAGATCTCCTCTGTTTATTCTTTTTATAAATATTTGAGTTCTTGCTCCATGTCAGTTATTATTGTAGGTACTGGGGTTATAGTAATGAACAGGAAAGGTAAGCTCCTTGCTTTCCTGCGGCTTGCGTTCTAGTGGAGGGAGACCCATGGTAAATAGCTAAGCCAATAAATAATTTCAGAGAATAAGTAAGAAATAAAAGAGGTAGTGGCATAAGGAAATTTTGGGGGTAATGAATGTGTTATCTTGCTGGTAATGATTTATCAGTATTTACATGGGCCAAAGTATATCACATTGTACACTTTAAATATGTACAGTATATATGTCAATTACACCCCAGTAAAGCCATTTCAAAAAATAAAATACGGGCACCTTGGTGGCTCAGTCAGTTGAGCCCCTTCGGTTCAGGTCATGAACCTGGGGTCCTGGGATCGAGTCCCACATCAGGCTCTCTGCTCAGAGCCTGCTTCTCCCTCTGCCTCTGCCTGCCACTCTGCCTACTTGTTCTCTCTCTCAAATAAACAAATACTCTTTTTAAAAATAAATAATAAAAATAGGGATCCCTGGGTGGCGCAGCGGTTTGGCGCCTGCCTTTGGCCCAGGGCGTGATCCTGGAGACCCGGGATCGAATCCCACGTCGGGCTCCCGGTGCATGGAGCCTGCTTCTCCCTCTGCCTCTCTCTCTCTCTCTCTCTCTCTCTGTGTGACTATCATAAGTAAATAAAAAATTAAAAAAAAAAAAGTTCTTTAAAAAATAAATAATAAAAATAAAAAATACAATGGACAGTATAGGAAGCTAATTCAGATTGTTTGGTCAGAGAAGACCTCCTGAAGAGGTTACATTTGAGCAGAATATCATGAAGGAGCCAGCCTTGCCACGATCTGAGGGCGCAGAGCACACTCACCCTGTGTGGCTATAGCAGAATGACCTCCAGGGAGATCAGGATCAGGCGTTGGAGCCACATGACCAGAGCATGTCACTTATGTCTCTTCAGGATCAGGGCGCAGACCAGAGGCAACAGAGGAGCCGCCCAGCATCCTCGTCTCTAACGTGATGACAGGGCTCCTCATTTGGTTTTCAGTCCAGGAAACTGCCAGGGAATGTGAAGTGTAGGCAGGATGGGGGCGATGATGCAAGTGGGCCAGTCAGCGTCTGTATTCTTCGTGTTCTCTTCCACTGCAGCTTTTCCTTCCCTCCATGAGAAAGAAGCCGGCTCTGGCTGACGGCAGCAATCCTGATGGCGATCTCCTCCAGGAACACTGGCTGGTTGACGACATGTTCATCTTCGAGAACGTGGGCTTCACCAAGGACGTGGGCAACATCAAATTTCTGGTGTGCGCAGACTGTGAAATCGGACCGATTGGCTGGCATTGCCTGGATGACAAGAACAGTTTCTATGTGGCCTTGGAACGGGTTTCCCATGAGTAACTGAGGGGAGGGGGACTCGGCTCCACCGCCACCTATAAAGGCTGCTCCCCTCAAGAACTGGCATTCAACCTGGTGTAACTGTGCTGCTGCCCCTTCTCTGTACTAATGTAAATGATGAGTATCAGCACGTCCGGTTGAACATGCATAGGGCTGATCCCGCGTCCCTAAAGCCTCAAGCGGGCGCCTCTTTCACAGCCCACGTTGCATCCCAGCATCTCCTCCTCTCCCTCTTCCCCCAGTGGCAGGACACTGGAACACTTTCACAAATCTGCCCCCATCCCTGACATCCTGCCTGGGCTCTCTGACCCTGGACTCCCTTGTTTCTTGCTCTGTGAGAGCAGTGTTCAGTCTCAGCCATGATGACACAGAGCAGACGATGCTGGTGCTCACAGTTCACACCCCACCTTCTCTCAAGAAAGCATACAAGTGACTTTGTTGGATGGCTAGCTTTATCTACAGTAGTTTATTCTTTTTAAAAGTATAGCACTTACAGACTTCAGTATTTAAACTGCTAATAGGAAACACATTACTTTGGACACGTCTGTAACGTCACGTTTGAGAGCCGACCCTCTGGGTTGATAGTGACTTTTTATGTTGAAGATGACTATATCCCCTCCTCCCTTCAAATCTTGATGTGGTTTCTCTTTACTTTATAGCCTATACATTGAGAATCAGATTTTCAACCCTGCCTGGCAGCCACGCCAAGGAAAACTCAGCCCTGGCTTCAAATCAGGGTGGAGGACGCCCACATTATCCTTTGCCACATTATCCATGACTTTACAGGTTTGTCGTATCTGGGCAAGTAACTCTTCCTCTTTTCCTAGGAAAGACTTCTCTACTGGATAGCGTCACTATTTACTGAGCCCACTAAGAATGGTCCTCAGAGTTTTGGTTCAGCTGGAATCCCTGGACCAATCCAGAACACAAATTTCTGTCCAAATGCCACTATCTTCTGTAGCTGTGGGGTTACTCTAACAGTCTGATGTTAGCAAATTTGTCAGCCCTTCAATATGATTATCACTTGTTCTGTCATTTTTCTTCTGAAGTGACTCACTGTCTTAAAAGGAATCTCTATGGCCAGGTGTTGAGTGTCCTCCCAGAAGTCCTACCTCTTAAGATTGAGGAGAACATAGAATTGAAATAAGGACTAAACAGAACCCTTACAAGCTACAGCCCATCCTTCTGTGTCTGTTTTCTGCTTGCTCCTGCCTTCTTTCTCTCCAGAACTTTTCTGAGGACTCCCCAGGTAAATTGTGGGCCTTGGGCTTTGCAATCAACCTACCAAGGAAGGTGGCTTCCTTCCGCAGTCATCGCCTCAGTGAGCTGTAGTTGAAAATGAGAGAACTGTTCCCTAGACAAAGTCAAATGTCTATGATTATGGCATTTGTAGTAAAACAACTGTGAGAATTATCCACTCAGGTCAGAAGGAACAAAACCAAGTAGATGCCTCTGGGGCATGTAGCCCCTTCTATCACAAGCCAAAACCTACGGAAAGCATTTTTTTTAGATTAGACTTTGACTTTTCTTTCCTTTTTTAATCACAGAAATAATCACTCATTTCCACCATCCAGAGATTGCCTATGGTAATGTGGTATATACCCTTCTTAGTGTTTTTTCTATATGTATATAGAAACATGTATGGTTTTTAAAAACAGATAAGAGATCATATTGTGCTCTTTTATAACTTGCTTTTTCCATTTGACAAAATCCTGACTTCCCATGTTAACAGATAACCATCTATGGACACCCTTGTATTTCTGTACTATAATTTACTTAAGCAATCTACTATTAGATTGTCTCCAGTCTCTTATAAACGATGTGATGTAACGTGCAACTTTATAGTTAAATCTGGATACAAACTCTTAACTATTTTCTACATTACTAGAAGTAGAATTGTAGGGTATGCACATTTTCATGGATTTGCCCTCTTGACACATACTCTTCAGAAACAGCTGTGCTAATTCACCGTCCTTCCGCAGTGTAAAAGAGCACTGATTTCTCTGAAACCTTCCTAACACTGGGTATTTATTATCATTAAAATATTTTGCCACTTTATAGAAAAAGCATCTCATTGTTTTAATTTGCATTTATTTTATGTTTAATGAAGTTTTTATATACTTATTGGTCATTTGTATTTTTGGTTTTTTTACAGAATTGCCAAACATTGTTGCCCCAGTAGCCAAAAATACCAAGTGTTATTCTTGCCTTTGCAGTTTAATTTGAAAGAAATAAAGGTGTGTAAACAGTAGAAATTAGATTCCTGTATGTCCTTGGGAAGAATATGCAATCTGAAAAAGCAGAGGAGAATGGAGACCCGACCCTCCTGTCAACTCATAAGTTAACCACTCAGTGTCTGCTATAAAATGAGAATGTCACCTCTTTGTTCCCCTTATGCATAATGGGCTCTCTGCTCTCAGCAGAGACTTGTGAAACCATTATCTGCTTTGTCGCAGGTAGGCGGACGCAGCCCATGAGTAGAGGAACTTGCGGGTCCTGTTAGGGAGAGCAATTGATTTTTCCTAGGCCTTATTTTTCCTACAAAATTATTTTTTAACACAAAGGCAGTGGGGTACTGACATTTTACATATTGTTACTACGTCACGTGCGAGCCTACTCCAGTAACTGTGATGTGTAACCACTGAGAACTTCTATTCCTGACGATGGTGGAGAGGTCGTTCGGACTGACCATCCCACTGAGAGCAGCCAGAAAGGCCGGACAGGCATTGGTGAGCTAACGTGTGTTTGAAGTGCTCCTGGACCCGGAGCACTGAGAAGACAGAGGCCCCAAGAAGTGGGCTTTGTGTTACGGGCCGCTCTTCTATTGGGGGCATTTGCCAGATGTCAAAGGGGGCAGTGCAGGGGCTGGTGGGTGATTGGGACAGCCTTCCAGAAGTAGGGATCTGGGCCTGTCAAAGAGTGGTCGACCGGGCAAATGCTTCTCACATGGGGGTGAGGCCCTCAGTCCCCTGCACCCCAAGAATAGGGGTGAGCCAGAAGTAGGAAATAGGCTGAGGGGACTGCAGCTTGGCTTCCAAAAATGCGAGTCCTTGAAATTAGATTAAGTCGATCCCAAAGTGGTAGTTTCCCAAACCCTTGGCATAAGCAAGTAAGAATGCTCTCTGGAGGAAAATATCGTCTTTAATTTCGACTTGTTTCTACAACAATTTTGCTAATACCATATTCTGAATGTGACAAAATGAAATCAGGCATATGAGACAGGATATTAAAACCAGTGAGGGCCCCCTGGGCGGCTCAGTGGCTGAGGGTTTGCCTCTGGCCAGGGCCTGACCCTGGGGTCCTGGGATTGAGTCCCACGTCAGGTTCCCTGCATGGAGCCTGCTTCTCCCTCTGCCTGTGTCTCTGCCTCTCTCTGTGTGTCTCTCATGAATAAATAAAGTCTTAAAAAAGAAAGAAAAAACCAGTGAAACAAGAGGCCATGGAAAGAGGCCCGTAGAAGCCACAGATAGTGGAGCAATCAAACACAGACTATAAGATAACTCCTTACTCTGTTCAAGGAAATAAGCAAGTTTTGGGAATTTGAACAGATACCTGGACATGTGAAAAAAATATGAATCCTAGAGTTAAAAAAAAAAATCCAATAACCAAAATTAAGAATTCAGTGGAAGTTTTTGACAGCAGATGATGCATAGCTGAAGAGAGAACTAGAGAACTGGGAGCTAGGAATAATTCTCACATATTTGCAAGACTAAAACACAAAACCTTATACATTCCTGAGCAATTCAAAGGAAACACATTTATAGGGCCAGAAAACTACAGCCCAGAGGCCAAATCCACTCAGGATAGCATCCGATTTATTGAGATTCAGGAGCCTGTGACCTAAGAATGGTTTCTACCTTTTGAAATGGTTACAGAAGTTCTTATGTAGTATCTCCCAATTTTACCTCTTACCCCGCAAAGCCTAAAATATTGATTAACTGGTCCTTTAAGAAAAAAAAGGTTGCCAAATCCTGACTAATTTTGTAAAGATGTCGACTTTTCTCCACAAACTGATGTATAAATTTAATAAAATCCTGGTGAAAAAAAACATTTCATGAAATTCATCAAACTGATTGTAGGAGTTCTATGGGAGTGCAGAGGACCGGGCCAGCCAGGACAGCCACGGAGGAACACAAGAGGCAGAGTTTCTCTGTTGGACGGACATTGTCACAAGAATGGACAAACAGACCCATGCATGTCACACCTTGATTTATGACAAAAGCAGGGGTGATGATTTGGAGGGAGCACAAGGAAGGTTCCTGCAATGCTGGAACTGCTGTTTTCTTATCTGGATAGTGGCTCTGTAACATATTATTAAGCTGTACGTCTTTTGTGCACTTTTCTGAATATATGCTGTATTTTCATAACAAGATTTTGAGAGAATGTAACTAATGATCCTACACAACTCCCATTTTCCTTTTTTAAGACTTTTTAGGGGCAGCCCCAGTGGTTCAGCGGATTAGTGCTGCCTTCAGCCCAGGGCGTGATTCTGGAGACCCGGGATCGAGTCCCACGTCAGGCTCCCTGCATGGAGCCTGCTTCTTCCTCTCTTTCTCTCTCTGTCTCTCATGAATAAATGAAATCTTTAAAAAAAAAAAAAAAGACTTTTTATTTTGGGGGCACCTGGGTGGCTCAGTAGGTTAAGCGCCTGTCTTCAGTTCCCGTGATGATCCCAGGGTCCCTGCTCATTGAGGAGTCGACTTCTCCCTCTCCATAGGCCCCTCCCCACTCTTGTGCATTCTCCCTCCCTCGCTCGCTCGCTCTCCTTGTCTCAAATCAATTTTTTAGATCTTTTAAGATTTTATTCATGAGAGACAGGGAGAGAGGCAGAGACACAGGCGGAGGGAGAAGCAGGCTCCCTGTGGGAAACCCATGTGGGACTCGATCCCAGTACCCCGGGGTCACTCCCTGAGCCAAAGGCAGATGCTCAACTGCTGAGCCACCCAGGTGCCTCTCAATTTTTTAAATCTTTAAGTAATCTCTACACCCAACATGGAGCTTGAACTTACAACCCCAAGATCAGGAGTTGACTCAATCAACTGAGCCAGCCAAGCGCCTCCACACCCACTTTCCTAAACATTAGTTCTTCCCTTCAGAATTGGATGGCACTCCTTTTCTATTACCTCTTACATCTATACACATTTAATAATTAAGCCTTGTCTCTGCTTCCCTCTAAGGAAGATAAATTCCATTAGGGTAGGGACCAAGAATATACGTTATATGTTAATTAGTTGAATTTAAATAAAATTTTCAAAAAAAGTAGGTACTGCACTTTTTTTTCCCAATACTTCTTGATAAAGACAATGAAAGCAGATGTGGTACAAGATCACACAGCACATCTGTGTGGTCATGACCCCGTCTAAGTCCATAGGGTAAGTAGTGCCAACCTTTCAATTGTGACCAAGGTGTTTTGTGTTTGAAGAATTAAATTCCCAGAATATGCCTAAATATTTCTAAATGTTAGAATTTGGGATCCCTGGGTGGCGCAGCGGTTTGGCGCCTGCCTTTGGCCCAGGGCGCGATCCTGGAGACCCGGATCGAATCCCACGTCAGGCTCCCAGTGCATGGAGCCTGCTTCTCCCTCTGCCTGTGTCTCTGCCTCTCTCTCTCTGACTATCATAAATAAATAAAAATCAAAAATAAATAAATAAATAAATAAATGTTAGAATTTAAGGTCAGGTGAGGGAAATGTCCACCAAATTCACTTCAAATCTATTGAAACTAAAAACAAAAACAAAAACAAAAAAAAAACAAAACTATTGAAACTTTGAATTCATGTAGCCTTGTATGGAGACAATGTTACGTATGATGTGTAATTTGTAGCCTGTGACACAAAACTGTGTGTACCCACAGCAAAGTATTACAATAATGGTTCTAATTTTGGATGTCAAGAACAAGTCCTGGGGCATCCCAGGGGCTCAGCGGGGGAGTGTCTGCCTTTGGCTCAGGGTGTGACCCGGGGGTCCTGGGATCGAGTCCTGCACTGGGCTCCCTGCATGGAGCCAGCTTCTCCCTCTGCCTGTGTCTCTGCCTCTCTCTCTCTCTCTCTCTGTGTCTCTCATGAATAAATAAATAAAATATTTTAAAATAAATCAGTCATTTGAAAACCCGGTGGTCCCTCTCCAGTACTGGCACTGGCTCAAGAACGAGTAGCCCAGGCACGGCCCTGTGTCTCCCTCTCTCCCTTGACTCTTCACCGCTGGATGAACAGGATATTCTTGTTCCCACAGAGTCTCCATCTTCTTTGCTCCTCCCTCCCCCAGCCGGAGTGTGGTTGTCCTATGAATTCCAGGTCATCTGGTTCCACGTGGCAGGCGCGATAGGGAGGGAGTGCCTGTAGGGAAAGGATGCAGAAACCTAGAGGCGACCATGGCCTTTGCCTCCGAACTTTGTAACACCTTAAACTCCTGAAGAACCGTGGGAAACGGCATGTCTGCAGTGGCACTACGGTTGGGGTCGGTGGAGTGACGCAGAGAAAAAGACGGTGGAGAGTAGAAAAAGAATGTGAACGCTGCAGCCACCTGGGTAGCAGGAATCCAAACACCTTGTAAGAGAACTGTAATGTGTGCGCTGTGAAGAAGCACACTGTCGAGAGGTTGGTGTGTGTCACTTCCACAGACCACACTGAGGGTCACTGTCGCAAACACGGGTCTACTTGGGTAGGGCCAATAAAGAGACCGAAGGACATTTTTAGCTGCCAGACACCAGCAGCCGGTGGTGAAACGCCGGACAGGACCTGGCAAGGAGGAGAGGATGGTGTTGAGCTTACGGCCAGATGGCTTCGTTTTAATCAGACTTGCCCACGTTCAGGAGGATGTAACATTTGGGAAGTTTTGCTTGGGGCAGTGACAGGCCAGGAACAACCAGGTCTCCGCGTCGCACTCGGTTTTCAAAGTACTTATTTGGATGTTCACACGCACGCTCACCTTATCCCTTGCCTGGAGAGCACCGCTTCACAGCCGCAGCCTCATAGAACACAAGGGTTGAGATCAAAGGACACTCTCCAGAGTTCGAAGTTAACCTTTGCACCCTGGATTCACACCACCAAGCCACCTAGACCACGACGCAGTCTGAAAAATATTTCAGGATACTTTTGAACGACACGTCTAGAGTCTTGTGGAAAAACAGGTGCAGGTGACACGAACTTTGAGTCTTCCTGGGTTGCAGCAACAGGAAGTCCTTACAGCTGCAGATTTTCCTAAAGCCACGATTCAAATCTCCAGGCCAGGCCGGCATAATTAGGGTGCAGGCACCTTCCCAGTGGGAAGTGAGAGCAGGAGATTACAGATGCTTTGGATTCCTCTGGAATGTGCTGAAGGAATAAGGTCACCACTGTGGGGTGTCCAGTCATTTGATAGAACCAAAGGCCAATTAACCCTCCCAAACCAGGAAACTGGCCCATTTGTTTCGCTTACGTATTTAGAAGTAAAACCACACATGGCTCAGAAACTGTGGAGGGGGGACGGTGCACGTGCCCTTTAGCTCCGAAACGCACGAAACCACCGCTGGGAAAACCAACCAAGTAACATCTATGACCTGCCTGAAATACTGCTCATGGGGTCACGCCTCTGTCGGTCACCCTCGAGGGCCCCACAGCCCGTGGACTCCTGTGAGACTCTCCAGAATAACATCCAAGTTCGCCCTCCAAGTCTTCTCCAGCGGGCTCCGGGCACCTGGGCCCGGGCCTCGGCAATCACCTGATCTCACCTGACCTCACCTGACGTCACCTGACCGGGAGGTTGCCTCAGTCAAGGGAGGTCAACTCCAATTACTTGCCCAGGAGCGCCCACCGCCACCCACACCTGCCCTCCCGCACTTCTGCCCTCCCCACACCTGCCCTCCCCTATACCTGCCGGCCCGCCCTCCCCCACATCTGCCCTCCCCACACCTGCCGGCCCGCCCTCCCCCACACCTGCCCTCCCCTATACCTGCCGGCCCGCCCTCCCCCACACCTGCCCAGCCCGCCCTGCCCCACACCTGCCCTCCCGCACACCTGCCGTCCCGCACACCTGCCCTCCCCCACACCTGCCGGCCCGCCCTCCCCCACACCCGCCCTGCCCCACACCTGCCGGCCCGCCGACCCCCAGCCGAGCAGCAGCTTGTCCCGCCCAGAAGCTCCCGGTACCTGGTTCCCGCCGCGGCACCTCTTCCCCGTGCGACGGCTGCGGGGCTCCGGGCTGCGCCCCCGCCCGAGGTTTCTGCACTTTTCCAGCCACGTCCGCCACGTTACGCGGGGAAAGACCCGGGCACGGGACGCGGCGGCCTCCGCGGAGCTCCCACCCGGGCAGGAGCGCAGAGCGACCTCCGAGGCCCGCAGCCCGAGCTTCTCCCTCCCTTCGGCTTTACAAACCGGCCAATCACCGGCCGCGGCGGCGTCGCTCCCGAGCGCCCGGCCAATGGCGGGGAGGGGGCGGGCCTCGGGGGAACGCCGCCCAATGGGGGCGCGCAGGGGGCGGGCCCCGAACGGCCGCCGCCCAATGGGAGCCCGGCTGGAGCCCGGCCGCGGCTGGGCGCGGACTTATAAGCGGCGCCCGGGGGCCGCGCGGGGCTTCGTGGTGTGGCTGGAGACTCGGGGCGCGTCTGCCGTCGGCGACCCTCGGCGACCCTCGGCGACCCTCGGCGACCCTCGGCGACCCTCGGCAGACCTCGCCCGGAGCCGCCATGGTGAGGGGGCGCCGGGGGCGGGCCCGGGAGTCCCCGCGGGGGCCGGCGCGGGAGAGCGTCCGGGGGGCAGGGGGAGGGGGAGGGGAGGGGGGCGCCCGGGGGGCTGCGCGGGTAGGGGGGCTGCGCGGGAGAGCACCCGGGGGGCAGAGGGGGAGGGGGCGGGAAGGGGGCGCCCGGAGTAGGGGCTGCGCGGGAAGGGGCGCCCGGGGGTTAGGGGCGCGGGAAGGGGGCGCCCGGGGGTTAGGGGCGCGGGAAGGGGGGCTGCGCGGGAGAGCACCCGGGGGGGCAGAGGGGGAGGGGGCGGGAAGGGGGCGCCCGAGGGGCGCGGGGGCTGCGCGGGGGCGGAGGGCGCGGGCCAGGCGGGCGGCCCCGACGGCGGCCCCGAGTAGCGCGCGGGGACCCGGACCCGGACCCGAGGCGGCCCCGCCCGGGACAAAGGCGCCCGCCCGCCCGCGGCTTAGTCCCCGCCCCCGGGAGCCCCGCTGGGCGCGGGCGGCGGGCTGGGCGGCCCCGTGTCCCCGGGTCCCCGTGTCCCCGGCCCGGGCGGCCCCTGAACGCGTCTGTGCGGCCCACGGAGGACGCCCGAGCCCGGGAGAGGCGCCGCCGCCGCGCAGGTGGCCCGCGACGGGCTAAGACCGGGGCCGGGGGGGGTGGGGGGTGACCCCGGGGTCCCGGCTCTCGCCGCGCGCGGCCCCGCCTCCCTCTGGGTCTCCCACGAGGAGATGAGGCAGGGAAGGCGGCCTCCTGCTGGGGCGCTGCGGCCTTGGAGAGCCGCCCCGTGGGCCGCGGGCGGGGCGGGGGCGCCGAAGCCGAGGGGGGGCGGCCCCGGACAGCCCACCCGGGCCGTGCGGACCCGCGCCCTGACCACCTGCGCGGGGCAAGGGCGACCCCGCGGGGCCGGCGCCCTCCCGCCAGCGGGCCGCTCTGGGTGGGCCGCTCTGGGTGGGCCGCTCTGGGTGGGCCTTCGCACTGGCTCCGACCCGCAGCCGCTGCCTCCGTCCGCCCCCAGACCTGCCCTGGCCTTCTCCCCGGGGGTGTGGGGGACACAGCGCCCGCGTGGGCACCGCGGCTCCCGGGCCCTGCAGGAGCCCTGGCCGGCCTGTCCTGGGACGAGGGCTCCGAGCCCCGCTCCTTCCCCGGCCAGCTCACAGGCACCAGGCGGCAGATCTGCTGGACGGCGGCTTCCCCCGGTCCCTGCCCCCGAGCACCTAGGCTTTAGGCACCTTTGGTCCCAAGTCCTGGGTGAATGAAGACAGCGGGAACCACCCTTTGGCCTAGAGCGCGGGCCGGCCTGGAAAGGGAGCCCAGGCTTCTGGGTTTCAGACCCTGTAACTCACTGCTAGGCCTCAGGCCCCGGGAGGAAAGATCCAAGGATGCGTCCGGGGCCTTCCCTGGCGGGAACTGGCTCCCTCCTGCATTCACACTGCCTCACGGCTCCGCTTCCCCCAACAGCGCGAGTGTATCTCCATCCACGTGGGCCAGGCGGGCGTGCAGATGGGCAACGCCTGCTGGGAGCTCTACTGCCTGGAGCACAGCATCCAGCCCAACGGCACCATGCCCAGTGACAAGGCGCTGGGCAGCGGCGATGACTCCTTCAACACCTTCTTCAGCGAGACGGGGGCCGGCAAGCACGTGCCCCGGGCCATCTTTGTGGACCTGGAGCCCGCGGTCATAGGTCAGTGGCCGGGAGGGTATTTGTTGCCAGCCCCAAAGTCCACGGGGAGCCCTGCTCAGGGAGGAAGCTCTTGGGACGCAGGCAAGGCCCTGCCAGGAGCAGCACTGAAGCCTGCCGCTCTGGTCTGGACTCTGACTCCCGGGGGTTCCCCAGGGCTTCCTGTGCGGAAACGACGGTCGGTCACAGCGGCCCAGACCCGGCTGGACGTGGCAGTGAGGGGCCCGGCCCAGGACAAAGGCCGCAGCAAAGAGTGGGCGTAAACGCAGACACTTTAAGCTGCCTCTTTCCTCCCCCTAGACCCTTGAGGATCACGTTGCCTACGGAACGGAGCGCAGAGACCTGGCTGTCGCTGGCTCCCAGGCGGTTCTCCGCTTCCTACTTTCTGCATCTGGATCTCCTCAGTTTCCTGTTCCTGAAAACTTCACCCCTCTCCTCCTCTATCTTTCTTTTCTTTCTTTTTAAGTTTTTACTCATTTGAGAGAAAGTGAGCACATGCGCAAAAGCAGGGGGAGCCCCAGAGGGAGACGGAGAAGCAGGCTCCCCACGGAGCAGGGAGCCCCACGAGGGGCTCAGCCCCAGGACCCCGGGATTGTGACCTAAGCCAAAGTCAGACACTTCACCGACCGAGTCCCCCAGACGCCCCCCGCTCCGTCCTCATCTTTCCAGAGACCGTTTTGTGGACATTACACTGTGGGCTGGGCTTTCTGCATCAGTGTGTGTTCTTGTCCTGCTAAAAGTCAAGTGAGACTCCCCTGGACGCGCTCCAGTTCCTCCCCAGGTCCCTCCCCAGGTAGACGGGGCTGTGAGGGAAGGCACAGTTAAAGCCCCTGACCCGTCCCCGACCCGGGTCCAGGAAGGACTAACTAGACTTTGGAAGTGGGCGTTGCAAGGCCGTCGCCCCCTGCTCCCTCCTGCAGGTGCACCAGGGCAGCTTGGCAGTGTGGGTCCTGGTGCCCGTGGCCTGTGGGGATGAGACCCCTCTGACCTTTGCCCTCTCTCTTCCCCCCCAAGATGGGGTAAGAACTGGCACGTACAGGCAACTCTTCCACCCTGAGCAGCTGATCTCTGGCAAGGAAGATGCTGCCAACAACTACGCCCGAGGCCACTACACGGTGGGGAAGGAGATCATCGACCTTGTGCTGGAGCGAATCCGAAAACTGGTGAGCGGACCCAGTGCCCTTGACACCTGTAGGATACCATGTGTGTGGTGTTCCCGCCTGGCCGGGAGGCCAGACACATGTGGAAGAAAGGGAAACCACAGGCCTGGGCTGTGACCCACGCCCCCCGGGCCCTGGTGGCTCCTCTGCTTTGCGGGGGGTGGGCGGGGGGCGCTGGGGCCTGGGTGCGGGGCCTGGCCGAGGAGCCTGAGGGACCTGTTCGCCCTGAGTGTGGACCCAGGCCCCCGCCCTGCTGACTCCCAGCTTTGGCAGGTCCCTCTGTCCAATCCAAGCCTCCTCTGAGCCCCAGCAGGTAGGTGGGGGCAGCCTGTGCTTCGGCTCCCAGGCAGAGCCCCGGAGAGGCTCCTGCTTACTGGTTAGCGTAACCACTTCCCACTTGACCCCACCCCTCGCCGGAGGCACGGAGCGCAGGCGTGAGGCCAACTAGCAGCCAGTTCCTTGGCACTGGTCCCTAGAGAGATCGCCCGGACAGATGCTCTGCTGCTCACGCACCAGCGGAGGCTGAGGACTTGCCATCGACTTGGGGACTGGGATTCGGTGCTTGCTGAACAACGTACCCCCTGGCTTAGGGTTTCTTAAAAGGTTTATTGAAGGGTTGGAGTGTGTTAGTTTGTTTGGGGGGATGTTTTTGTTGTTGTCACCAATTTGCGGAAAGTTTGCTTTTCATTTAAGTGATTTTTTTTTTTAGACAGACTTGCCACAGCGCTAGTTTCAGGTGGACGGTGTAGGGATCCGATAAATGGATGTATCGCAAGTCAATGGAGAATTTTTATATCCTCCCTCCCGGGGCGTCCGGTGTAGACCGATGCCCTTGTAGCCCAAGGACCAGCTACGTCAGAAGTCAGCGAGGGCGCTTGTTAACCCCGCGGGTCCCTGTGTTCCAGTCCTGGGAATCTCTGCTCGACGAGATGCCACCCCTGCCTCCCCCGCCTCCCACTGTCCTGCAGCCAGGTGGCCAGGCTACCGAGTGGAGAGGGCCCAGCTCTGACGTCCAGTCATCCGCCCCATCTGACCCTCCTCTGCCCTCCCCTCCCACCGCCCCTCATGCCCCTTCACACACCCAGCAGGGCCCCTGGAGGTCATCTGTCCCCTAGACCTCCAAACCCCTGCAGGTGTTCTCTTCTCACCTCTACCGAGGCGAAGCACAGGAGCATGAGAGAACTTTCTGGAATGGTGGGAGTTTCTGTATCTCAAGGAGTTTGGTAATATAGGTAACACCCTCCACACTGTCTGTCGTACGTGCGATAAAACGTATACCCCTAAGTACCAATTGTGCTGCAAAGCGTTTTCCTAAGTGCAGAAGGGAATACTGTTAGCCTAGGGCCCCCGTAGTTTTGCAGACAGAAGAGGGCCGGGGCGGGGGTCGTCCCCTCCATCCTAATGGTGTCCCCTCCTACCCCAGACAGACCAGTGCACCGGGCTCCAGGGCTTCCTCATCTTCCACAGCTTCGGGGGTGGCACCGGTTCAGGCTTCACCTCCCTGCTGATGGAGCGGCTCTCCGTGGACTACGGCAAGAAGTCCAAGCTGGAGTTTGCCATCTACCCCGCTCCGCAAGTGTCCACCGCGGTCGTAGAGCCCTACAACTCCATCCTGACCACCCACACCACCCTGGAGCACTCGGACTGCGCCTTCATGGTGGACAACGAGGCCATCTACGACATCTGCCGCCGCAACCTGGACATCGAGCGCCCCACCTACACCAACCTCAACCGGCTCATCGGCCAGATCGTGTCCTCCATCACCGCCTCCCTGCGCTTCGACGGCGCCCTCAACGTGGACCTCACGGAGTTCCAGACCAACCTGGTGCCCTACCCCCGCATCCACTTCCCCCTGGTGACCTACTCCCCCATTGTGTCAGCCGAGAAGGCCTACCACGAGCAGCTGTCGGTGGCAGAGATCACCAACGCCTGCTTTGAACCCTCCAACCAGATGGTCAAGTGCGACCCTCGCCACGGCAAATACATGGCCTGCTGCATGCTCTACCGGGGGGAGGTGGTGCCCAAGGACGTGAACGCCGCCATCGCCACTATCAAGACCAAGCGCTCCATCCAGTTTGTGGACTGGTGTCCCACGGGCTTCAAGGCAAGTTGGGAGTGAGGTGGGTGGGGGTGGGAGGTGCGGGGCTGTGTGCCCGCCCAGGGGAGCGTCCCAGGAGCTGCAGGCAGGGCAGGGGTGCTGGCGATGGGGAGAACCAGGCAGCCAGCGGCTTTGTTCTCGACAAGCTCGGCTCATACAAGGCAGAGCGGGTCTCCTGTCCCTTCACCCGGCAGATAGGCGCTCCCTGGGGCGGCCGCTCCGGCGGGGGCCAGGTTTCAGCCTATGCGGGGGGGGGGCGCAGCCGCCTAATACGCCCCCTGCTCCCAGGGGAGGGCTTTTGGGGACACGGAAGGGCCTACCATTCAGTGACGGGGCAGGACACGGGTCGGAGGGTCTGACCGCGGCCCCTTCCTTGAAGACTCGTGGGGAAGGCTTGCTCGACGCCCCTCTCGCTTCTGTCCACGTCCTCAAGGCTGCTGGGCATGTGACCTACTTGAAGTTTTATGGGTTGTTCCAGGGTGAGCTTAGAAAGATTAAAGGTGGCAGCTGTGACGTTTAGAAAAACGCGGCTTCCCTGCCCGGTGACGCTGGTGCAGCTGTGAGCGCAGTGGGAGGGACGCAGGGTCGTGAAGCCGCGAGACGTCACCCGTCACCCGCTAGGACTCGGGAGCTGCCCCGTAGCTCAACCAGAGACAGGTGCTGGGAGGTCTGGAGGCGGATCCTCCGGCTCCGAATTAGGAAAGCAAGCGAGGCGCCTGCAGGCAGTAGGCCCGCAGCCCTCGGGCGGTGAGCGGAGGCGACCTTCTGTTTTTCAGTGCTGAGTGAGGGTCTCCCTGTGTCCGGGCCAGAGCGGTGCTTAAGGAGACGGGGCTTGGATCCCGTGGGGGATCTTCACAAGGTTTCATAGTCCCTAGACTATTTTCTAAACTACAGGAAAGGGGAGATTGAGCACGGCTGACACCCGAGTGCCTACTGCCTGGATTCAGCCCCTGGGTTTCCTTTACGTTTGCTCTGCTGACCCACTTAGCCTGGCCTACGGCTTTTCATGACACACAAGTTCGTTTTTGTGCCTAACGAGATTCATAACAGTTCTCCAAAGTAAAAATACCCGGGCAGCATCCGAACTTTCCCAGTTTCCACAGATGCCTTTCACATCAGGTTTTCAAAGTCAGGATTTAATCCAAGCCTTGGCATTATATGTGCCTCTTAAGTCTTTTTTATTTTTTAAAGATTTTATTTATTCATGAGGGACACAGAGAGAGAGGCAGAGGCACAGGCAGAGGGAGAAGCAGGCTCCATGCAGGGAGCCCGACGTGGGACTTGATCCCAGGACCCCAGGTCACACCCTGAGCTGAAGGCAGACGCTCCACTGCTGAGCCTCCCAGGGGTCCCCATCTCTTAAATCTTTTAACATAAAACATCCGCCCTTTTTCTTGACGGTCATTTGAAGGCACTAGTCTAGTCGTCCTGAAAGTCCCACGTTCTGGACTTGTCTGTTCCTTGGGTGCTGCAGCCGTGTCTGTCACCCCCGCGCCTCTTACCGACTGGCGGACGCCCCACCTGGGGCCCGGCCGTGTCTCGGGTGTGGGACTCCTACAGATCCCTTCCCAGCAACGCGGAACCAGGACCTTATGCCACCCGCTGTTTCCTCTCAGGTTGGCATCAACTACCAGCCGCCCACCGTGGTGCCCGGGGGCGACCTGGCCAAGGTGCAGCGGGCGGTCTGCATGCTGAGCAACACCACCGCCATCGCCGAGGCCTGGGCCCGCCTCGACCACAAGTTTGACCTGATGTACGCCAAGCGGGCGTTTGTGCACTGGTACGTGGGCGAGGGCATGGAGGAAGGAGAGTTCTTGGAGGCCCGGGAGGACCTGGCTGCCCTGGAGAAGGATTATGAAGAAGTGGGAACGGAGTCGGCGGACGGCGAGGACGAGAGCGAGGAGTTCTAGGGCTCCTGGCGCCTGCCCGTCGCTCGGGCTCCCTGTTCTGTTTCCCTAAGCCCCACAAATACAGTCAGTGTCTGGGTGACGCGGGGCTCTCGTGACGTGCGGCGCGGCCGGGCGCGGGCCTCGGAGCGGCGACTTCCGTGTCCCCCTAGTCGCAGGGCAGGGCGGCTGCCGGCGGGGGTCGGCGGCGCCGTCCCCGCCATCAAGGCCTCTGACGGCCGGCCGGGGCTCGGACCGCATGGCGCGTCCCCCGGTCCCCAGGTCCCCAGCCGGTCAGGGAAGGCCAGGAAGGGCCAGCCCTGGGAGGGGTCGTGCCGTTGGCTGCCCCTGGGCGGGCGGAGGTCTGAGCGCCAGGCCCATCGGGGTGGGGCCACCCACTGCCGCGTGGACGCCCGGCTCCCAGGACACGGGTCTTCGGCGGGGCTGCGAACGTCTGAAATAATGTTGAAAGTGCCTGTGAGCCTTTGAGGCAAAAGGAAAGTTTTTTTATTTTTAACGGGTCCCTGACGAGAAAGGCCCCGTGGGTCTGGGAGCCGGCTGCCTGTGGCCTCGGGGCAGCCGAGGAGCCCGCGGGACCCACGAGGAGACGGCAGGCGGCCCGGGCGCGGGGGTGACAGGAGAAGCCCCTGGGCCCGAGGAAGGCCACGCCCCGCGGGACCCCCGACCCGGAGGGCAGCCTGTGCTCCGGGCCTCACTCCACCTGCCTCGGTTGCTCGGTTCTACCTGTAGCTCGGGCCGTGTGCCTGCTTCGTCCTCAGGCCCGGCGAGCCCTGGGGCCTCCTGGATGCGTCGCAAGCGTGGCCTTGCTCTGGGTCCGGGGCCCCGGCTTCTGGGTGTTGACCTAGGAACCGGTTCCCAATCCGTGAGCCTTGCCGGGTGGACCCGGGAGGCGTTTCCATCCGAGCGCCGCATCCACAGACCTCGGCCCCTTCGGGGAAGCTGCGGGGGCTGCGCCCCTGCACGAGTGGCCCGTCCCGGCCGCGAACAGGTGTCTCCCCGCGGGTCCTCTGGGCGTTGGGGCTCGGGGCAGAGGTGGGCTGAAGGCACAGTAGGAAGGGGAAGGAGCCAGGAAAGCCCGGCGCCGTCTGGAGACCTGGGCCACCTGCGTCTGGCCTGCGCGCTGCTTGTCTTCACGCCGACCCAGGAAGGGGCCTTCCCTTCCCTCCCCCTTCCCCCCTTCCCTCCCCTCCCCCTTCCCCCCTTCCCCCTCCTCCCGCTCCTTCACGCAGTAGCAGTTCTGCCTCTGAGGGCTCGGCCCTCGAGGTAGGGACCCTCCTTCCTGGCCGCCACACACCCAACCCGGAGCCTGTCCCGTGCTGGGGTACCCAAGGGCTGAGCGAGCCCGGGGGGCCAGGCAGGCCAGGTGAGGCATCAGGGTGAACCTGCGGGGGTGAACCTGCAGCTGCGTGAGGCACGTCCTCTTTTCTCACTTCCTGTCCCTTTTTTGTGTGCATTTTCGAAAGAATCTTTTTGTTAAGCCTGTGTCTGGACTCCACCCCCCTCCCAACAGCCACCACCGAGCTCTAGTCGAGCCGCGTCCCTGGGTCCCCAGGGAGAGCCCGGCCTGGGTTCCTTCCAACTGGGGTCCTCGGTGGGGAAATGATGGAGAAGCAGAGAGGTGGTTGCCTTGGAAGTTGAGGTCTGCAAGTAAAGCGTGTCCCCGAGCATGTCCCCGAGCACGTCCCCGAGCACGTCCCCGAGCACGCTCCTGGACGGTGGACCCTAAGGAGGCATTTCCTGCGGGCACCACCGCCTGCCGTTCCTAAGTGACCTGGTTGCCCGCTGGGAAGTGGGCTCTGCGGGGCCCCTGGAGAGGAGGGAGGTTATCCTGCTGGGGGCCCAGGACATTAAGGGGCAGGACCCAAGGACAGGGAGGGTTAGAGCGTCTCCACGGCGCCAGCCCATCTTAGAAATCCTCCCTGCCCTCGGCTTCAGTGTGGAGGCCTCGCACCCCCCCACCCCCGGGGCACATTTTGAGCAAGGCCTAGTTCACGCCGCCTCTCCCAGAGCTGGGCTGAGCCTCCTGCTGCAGAGCCCAGGCCTGACCTTGGTTTCCTTGGGACACGTTCCTGTTCCTACGGTTCCTGCAAGTTCAGAGGGAGAGACAGGTCCTGGGGGCGACTGATGACCCGACCCCTCCCTGCACCCGCAGCTCCCAGCCCCGCCGTGTAGGTGTCCAGGTCTTTGGCCTTGGGGGATCCGTGACGCGGCCTCCTGGGGGACCCACCCCCCTGCTGCCCGCCCGTCTTCCTTTTCTGAAGCTCACGGGTGACAAGTGTGTGTGGTGCCCCCGGGGGACACAGGCTCCGGCTGCTCCGTCCCGGAGGCCTGGCGCCGGAGCCCGGGTGGCGGGGGGGGGGGGGGTGCGTGGGGAGAGGGCCAGGCTGCCCGGGCATGGACGGTGAGTGGAGGCCCCGGAGGCACGGGTGGGCCCGCCTGGTGGCCGAGGACCCGCAGCCCAGGCCTGAGAGGGAGGCGGCGGCGCCAGGATCGGCTCTGAGCTGCGAGCCCGGCTGCGCCCTCGGTTCACGAGGAGTTCCCGCGGCCTGCTGTGTGCCACGGTCCACGTCCGCGGGGGGTAGCCCACGAGGGGGCCACGGCCTCCCGTGTCAGGCCTTCGGTGGCCGGCAGCCGGGGAAGCCTGTGGAAGCGACGGTTCCCCACCTGGGGGTCCTGTCGCAGGACGGTTGGGGGGTGTCCGCCGCGGGGGGTGCCCCGGCTGGTGGGAGCAGCCCGGACAGACCCCGTCCGCCCGCAACTGCGGCCCCAAGACGCAAGGGGCTGCTCAGATCCCAACCGGTTCCCTAGAGGTCGCGGCAGCTGCGAGCAGGCCCGGGCGGGGTGGGGGGGCCGGAGCCAGTGCGCCCCGTGGCCCGTCCATGGGCAGCGCTCCGACCAAGTGCCTGAGCCTGGAGTCGGCGGCGGGGAGGCTGGGATCCGGCTTCTGGGTTTTACTTTATTTTTTAGTTTCTTAAAAGATTTTTATTTGAGAGCCGCGCTAGCATTGGGAGAACCGGGGTCCCGGCCGCCAGCGCCCCTTTCTCTAAAGCAGCAGAACCCACTTCGCTCCCGCGGCCAGAGAGGGTGGGGCTTGGTGTCGGAGAGCAGCGGGTGTGCGGGGGTTCCCGGGGGCCCCCCCAAGCCCCAGCGGCCACAGGTCCTGGCATGTGGGGCGGCCGCCTGGGTCTGCGGGCAGGAGGGGGCCCGGGGAGGGGCAGGGGCGGGCTGCGACGAGCACCTGTCACCCCCTCCCCTTACTTGCCGTGTTGGGGGGCTTGTTCCTCCCGGGGCGGGGGGGAGACCCGGGGGCACAGACCTGCCACGGAGCCCTGGGCCCTGCCTCCCGGGAGCAGCGGGGGGCGCAGGGACCCACTGCCGGCTGGGAAGAGGCGCCCCCCACACACCCCTCAGGTGCGACACCCCTCATGGGTGAGCCGGCAGACCCAGCCACATGCCTCCGTGGACAAGGCCACAGAAGGGAGGCAGAGAGGAGGGAACGTGGGCTGAGGTGTCCACAGGGTCACACACTCACACGCAGGGTGGGATGTCCGTGGGGTCACACACGCGGTGGGGTGTCCACGGGTCCCCCACCCCCACATGTGCTTTCCTGTGGCCTCCCGCGTGGAGTGTGAGCAGCCTCAGCCTCTGCCTCCAGGTGGCCTGCGGTGGGGACCGCGGCGGGAGGTGGGCACCAGGTCCTCTCGGCCCCCAGCCCGCGGGGTGGCCTGTCCCGTTCCGGGTGTCTGTCCCCTCGCCCACCAACCAGCCAGCAAAGGCTGACCTGCCCCTGGGCCAGGCCGGGGCAGCATCCACCATGTGGACAGTGGGGCCGTGGTCAGCATCACCCCGTGGGTGGAGGGGGCCCCGCGCCCTGCTCTGGGCGCCCCGTCGTGGTCCCCGGCTCCTCCTGCCATAACCCGCTGTGTCCTCCTCGATGCCCTCCCTTTCCCCCAACCAAGGCCTTCGGAGGACACTCCGTCCCCGCTGCTCAGTCCAGGCTTCCTGTTGCACTGGCACCACCGCCCAGACTGCCCCTGGGCCCCGCTCCGCCCCTGCCCGCTCACAGCAGAGCTCCCAGAAGCTTCTAGGTGGGTCAGAGGGGCTGCTCATGAGGGCCCGGCCCAGCGTGTCCCGCCTCCCAGCCGCCCACCCAGACCCAAATCTATGTGAGCGACAGGCGACAGGCGGCGGCTCCGTGAGGGCTTCTCCGGGAAGTGCAGCCCGTCCGCCCTCCCCTCCAGGCCCAGCGGGACACGGCGGTGGCTCACCCTTGTGTCATGGGCCTGGCCGGGGACCAAGGGCCCAGAGTGCACGACAGGCCCTCCAGCCCCGACCTTCAAATGTGGCCTTACCTGGGAGGGCCCCCCTGCTACTCCAGTGTGACCACGTCCTCCTGCAAAGGAGAAACTCGGGAACACCCGGGTGCTCAGTGGTGGAGCGTCTGCCTCCGGCCCAGGGCATGACCCCGGGTCCCGGGATCGAGTCCCGCGTTGTGCTCCCCGCATGGAGCCTGCTTCTCTCTCTGCCTGGGTCTCTGCCTCTCTCTGCGTCTTTTTTTTTTTTTTTTTTTAAGAAAAGGGGGGGACATTTGGACACGTCCACAGAGAGAAACCCGTGTGCAGGACAGTGTGGCCAGATCCTGGAAGGAGCCCTGGACCAGAACTGGCCCCAGTGCTCCCACCCGCGTGTTTGTGGCCGTGACCCGCCCGCCCCCCCCCCCCCGTGACCGTGGCCTTCCAGCCTCCGGAGCCGGGAGACAACACATTTCCCTGGTCTCAAGCACCCGGTCTGTGGAGCTTTGTTACAACGGCCTGGAGACTCGCGGGAGGGACACGAAGTGCACCCCCACCCCCCTCCCCACCCCCCTCCCCACCCCCTGTGCATAGGTGCGCCCCCAGGGTCCCTGGGGGGGGGCATGGCGGGTGCTTTGCAGGCTGTTGGAGCCAAGACTGCTTAAGCGTGGACAGGACAACGGCCAGGCCAGGCCAGGGACGCCCAGGTTCTAGGCCTGCCTCTGCCCCCAACCTCCGGGCAGCCCTGGGAGGCCGACGGCCCTCCCGCCCTTCCCGGGTCCTGGGGTCA